GCATTACTTGGCTCATTTTTCAGATTTGCTCTCGCTTCCTGAATCTAGGGCTGTCTCTAATTGACACAACTGCCCTGAATGTATTTTTTTAATCTACTTGCTAATTAATTTTTTCAGCGAACTGCTCATAATGAGAGGTACAATCCCTTCTTGTTTGTTATCCTCGACTTTGTTTCCAGCTCAGGAGAAATAAAAAGGCTGTCATTCTCTTCAGAGTTCGCCATCTTCAGTCAGAGAGATTGAAGGGACCAGAAACTTTTAAGTCATTATTTTAAATTCGCAAAACGAAAATGTAAGAGGTTTAAATCAGTCTTTTGAAACACTCTACCTGCCTTTATCCTCAACAGTGAGAGAAGCACCGTTTTGTTACCTTTGTCTTTGGCCCTCAAAAGCCATTCCTTTCACATGCCAGAGCCTTCCTCCCTTGCTCTTTTCCCTGCTCCCATCCGCTGGCGCCCTCTGCTGGTAAGGTTCGTGGGGCTACCCTTAGATCCTGCAGATTTGTGTACCTGCCCAGGGAGCCTCCCCGTGCCCTCTTCAGGTTGCCTAGCAACAGATGCTTTCCTTCCCCTGGCAGCAAGTCACTTTTCTGAATAACCCTATAGCTCTGTTCTGTGGCTCACTGGATCAGCCAGGGAGTGTTCTGGATTCTGGTTCAAAGTTTGGAAACATGGATGTGGATCAATTCTCTAGGCTGTAAGAGCAAAAGAGCAGATAATTGGATGTAAATGTTTTTAAAGGTTGAGGGCCAAAAATGCAAGTCAGTAGTAGAGCACTTGCTTACACAAGTCTCTGGACTTGATTCTGAAAACAAAAGAGAAGGAGGAGGAGGGGTGGGGGAGGGAGGGAGGAAGGAAGGAAGGGGCTGCCTTGAGCTCCTGTTTACTAATAGGTTGATATTGGCTCTGCATTTTTCACATTTTTCACTGAATCGCTGAACAAATTAGGCTTCGTCACGATTTAGACTAGAGCCTGAAAGTTGGCACAGTACGCTGATGGACGCACAGTAGGTCGTATTGAGCAGTCATCCTCCTTAACTCACTTAAAACAATGGTGGTAAGAATTCCTATGTATTGCACTAAAGAATTTCCTAGATACAGCACCTAGGCCAGTACCTGCCATCACTCCATAGGTGAAAGCTGCTTTTCTAGTTTGTGTGATATCATTATATTGGTTATCTACTCACTTCCTCTGTACGGTGTGGTTTCTTTTTCACTGAGTCGGTGTATTTGATCTTAAAATTGTATAACCCTAATTTACATATCTGATAAAACCATAATCTTTTGCTATACTTTTAGAGTATCTGAGTAATACACTATCTTAAATGTGTGTGTTTGGGGGTTTCTAATTTCCCCTTTGTAACTTTTTGTGAAATCTGTTTTGTTCCCATCTCTTTCTAAATAATTTATAGATATCTTGGCACTTAAAAATTGACGAATCCTTACAAAGCTACCCACTATGCTATGCTATGCTATGCTATGCTATGCTTTTATGTTTCACCCTCACTTTCTACCTGCCCTAATAATTATGGTATCTGCTGGGTTGAAACATGTGCGGACGCACTCACAGATGTGGCAACTGTGCTGAACAGTTTTCTACAAAGCCAGACCTTTCAATGTAGTTCCGAATGGAAAATGGTACTCCGTGTTTACATATGTTGAGAAGCTGCTGCTTTTGTTTTTAGAACAATTATTTCTATTCTCAATATAATGCTACACTGGAGAAATAGTTAATGAATTTAAAAGGTGGCCATGGAATTCCTGTCACAACAGCCCATGCTTCGACTAAGAACCGTCTCCGGATTTCTCCTTGCATTCAACAACTATTCCCAGTGAGTCTCTGGCTGAGACACGGCAGTGGGTCCAGGTGTAGGAAGTGCCCAGCCTGACCTTGAAGGCACCCACAGTCTAACAGAGTTACGATGTAACAGGAAGCAAACCATTTCGTGCAATGTGATAGAAGAGATGAAGAAGAAGCATGGGCCCTATGAGACATAGAAAAGGGGTTCTAGGTGTGTGTGATGGCTAATTTGGTCGTCAATTTCACTGGATCTGGAATCACGTAAAACAGCAAGGCATCGGGCACTACTGTGAGGGGCTTTCTTAATCAGATTGTGTGAAGCAGGAAGACCCACCCCAAATGTGGGCATCCCGTCAGCTGGTAGCTCAGATAAAAGGACGTGGAAGAGAGAAGCTTTGCCTTCACTCTCACCAACAAGCTCATTTATCCTATTCTTGAAGCTTTCCTTTGCTGACATTAGAAGAAGCTTTTTAAATCTTCTAAAATAAACTGAAGACCAGAAGCTCTCCAGGGATCGGCCAGGTTGCCAGCACATGCCTGGGACTGCTGACTGGGACATTCAGGCTCGAGGACTGAGCAACTAAGATTCTCAGCCCCTCAGTGTCAGCCCACGTTGTCAAACTACCCAGACCACATCATGTAAGCTACTCTAATCAGTCCTCTTTAGCATGCATTCATGGCGTCTGTTCTGTTCCTCTACACGGGCCTACAAAGGGGACAGTGAAGCCAAGGAGCATAACTAGGAGTTGGCCCAGAGAAGGGGCCATGGGTACCCCCAAGAGAAGAGCAGCAAGACACCTGAACCTACCTAGTTAGGAGGGAGGCGTGAGGGAGGGTGGAGAAGCAGAACTTGGAGCTGGAGAGTCAAGAAGAACCAGGGAAGGAGTTTGCAGGTGGGGACAGCGTTATAGTCCGACCAGCAATGTGAGGGCAACACCTCTCGGACTGCATTTGATTAAGGCTGGAGGCCTTGGAAACAGGCTACCAAAACTGTGCTTACAACGAGTGGCCAAATACCACAGTGGTGGGAGAGGACAGGATGTGTATTCAGAAAACACCCAACAGAGCACAGAAACTTTTTTGTGTTTGCAAAAAAAAAACGAAATAAAACAGGATCACTCCCATTCCGCACAGTTTAGAAAAATCCAGAGAAAGGAGGGAGAAGGAGCAGGTTGGAGGTGGCCCAACAGTTGTTACATCTGGGGAGAAAGGATGAGCTGGGAGCCACTAGGTGGAGGAGATACGCAAGTTTCAACAAGTGGGGTGTGGCAGTGAGAGGCCAAGATTCCAGGAGACTGGCCTCGCTGAGAGGACAGAGTCTGGAGGCCCCTAAAGCTACTGGTGATTCCGACGAGCGTGTTCTCAGCTCAGGCCACTGCCAGGCGACCTGAGTTTGAAGTTGCAAGAGGCAGGAGAGACGATCAGGACAGGAGCCCCAGGAAGAGGAAGATTGGTGGAACCAATGAGAGGAGAGACAGAAGGTCTAAGTTGAGAGAGAGAGAGAGAGAGATTGGAGAAAGTGTCTGAAAAACAGAAGTGATGAGACAGACAGAAGGGGAGGGACCAAGAGGGCTTGGTTGACAGAGGGATGAAGAGACCCAGTTAGCGGCTGCTGTCTGAGACACAGGCCAGGGGTCCTGCTGATAGCAGGGGAGAGTGGGGTCTGGAGAAAGCTGGACAAAGGGGACCATCGACTTCTTGTGGTCTTTAGGACTTTTTCTGCCTCCATGTCTCAGTGTTAGATTCCAACACCTGGACCCAGTCACCTCCTTCGTCCTCCTCATCCCCTGCTCTTGCACTGTGAACAAAGCAACAGAGCTCAGCAGAGCGAACTAACGGCTCCCAATCTCAGTCACAATAAAAGATCAGCAGGTGCCAGTCTCCTGTCCCCCATCCATTCCTCGGCCTTAAGGTCAAGTTCAAAACCACAGTGTGTTCTGGAAAAGCTGTGACACCATTCGCCAGGACTGCAAAGGAAAACAGGGGCTGGAGTTTGGCAAAGACGGGCTGGAAAGGTGGTAGCGGGGGCGAGCTGGAATCGTCGAGAAGAGAAGGGAGCACGCGCGCTGTGACTGGTGAGCCTCCTAGCGATCCTCCCCCCGATAGAATATGCATGATCCCGAGTCCCCGCTCACCTGGGAGCAAGGAGGCGTCGGAGCAGAGCGAGGAGCCCGTGCCCAGACGCACTGGGGCGCGGGCTGCGAGGGAGCCCACGCGGGCCGGCGTGTAAGCCAGCGCCCCTCGTCCCTCCTCTGACCCACCAGGTTAGGGGAGACGCTCCTCCGACCCCCTAAGCCAAGTCCCATCCGAGTCCCCGTCTCCTTTCTGCGGAGCGGGACCCGCTGGAGAAGGGCACGCCAGACTGCCAAGAAGCAGGCCGGCCTAGCAAGTGGCCAGAGGGGCCCAGCGGGGAGCCTTTGGTGCGAGCTGTGGCCCTCGGCGCCGCGCTTAGCCGCTCCGAGGGCAGGACCCCGTTCTCGGTTGCTCACCGCCACCACCACCCCCTCGAGCTACCCGTGGGACGGTGCTGAGCCAGGCGCCGGCTGAGCCCCAGTGCCACCGAGCCGCCTCCGGCAGAGCCGGGCGCCGTCTCCCTGGCAGCTCCCTAGGACGACCCGCCTCGAAGGAGCGGCTCCCCGGGCGCAGCCAGCCTCCCGGCACCGCTGGCCGGCGGGGCGCGGCGGGCAGGGCAGCAGGGAGGAGCCCGCGGGGACCAGGACAGCGCCCTGAGCGCCGGGCAGCGGAGAGGCCGTCGCGGGAGCGCACGCCTCGCTCGGGCGCTCGCCGGCTCCGGTGCGTGTTCCCCCGCGCCTGGCGGGAGTGCCAGCCGGCAGGCATGGGGTGCCTGGGCAACAGCAGCAAGACGGCGGAGGACCAGGGCGTGGACGAGAAGGAGCGCCGCGAGGCCAACAAGAAGATCGAGAAGCAGCTGCAGAAGGAGCGCCTGGCTTACAAGGCGACCCACCGCCTGCTGCTCCTGGGTAAGGCCGGGGTGTGCGGCGGCTCCGGCCCCCGGGATCCCCGGGTGCGCGGTCCGGGGCTCGGTGCCACCCGTGACACTGGGCACCGCCGGGCCCCGGAGCCCGGCCGGGGCGAACTCCTACGAAAGCGCCCGCGTCAGGGCAAGGGCACGTTGGGTAGCAACAGGATGACCCGTTAGGAGGACGCGGATGACTGGATGACTTTCTGTTTGCTCACAGGGGCCGGCGAGTCCGGGAAGAGCACCATCGTCAAACAGATGAGGATCCTGCATGTCAACGGCTTCAACCCCGAGTAAGGAGATCCAAATCCTGTGTCCGCCGCTTTGTCCCAGCGGTCCTTTTGATGGTGTGGTATATCTGGGCGGCGGGGAGGTATATCTAGCGTTGAACTTGCTCCGTTTAGGCAAACCCTTCTTCGGCAATGTCTGGTTTTAAGAAGTAAACTGCTTGCCAAAATACGATTTGTTAGGAATTCTTGGGGGGAGAAACTGCTCTCTAACACTGGTTTGGCGCTGAACCCTCTGCCAATACATTGATTGTTTACTCATTAGTATCTGAGGCGGAGGCCCCTGGAAATCCAAGGATATTGAAATCTGTTGCATAAAATGGCGTGTTAGCTGGAAACCATCTATGAGCATCCTTCAGTTTACTTCGGCTCGCCTCTAGACGATTCACAGTACCTGGTGCAACGGGCTGATGAAAGCTGTGACTGCACCGTGTTGGATGGTTTAGGAACTAATCGCAAGGAAAGCTGTCAGTACACATTCAGGGCAGGCACGGGTTTTGCCAAACGTGGTTTCGGTGTTTTGTTTTTTTTCCCAATCCTCAGTTGGTTGGGTCCACCAACGTAGAACTGCCCACAGTAAGCCTAAGTTATCTGCTACGGCTTCTAACTGTGAACACAAGGGACCCGGATTGAGTAGAACTGTAAAGTCAGGTTTGTACGTGATATCCATAACAATTGTGATTCCGGGGCCCTGATGGGTGTTTGAACTGTAGGTTTTTAAAGCAGATACATTCCATTTGTTGAGAGCAGAAATTGGAAGGGGGGGACGAGGTTTGCATTTGGGGGTAAGAACTTGGCAGATGCCTTGGAGGTTGGTACTGACCTCTGGCGAACTGAGCTGTGTGATGCTGCCGTCAGTGAGAGGAGAATGAAATTAATAGCAACTCTCTCCTTCCATGCAGGGAGAAGAAGCAGAAAATTCTGGACATCAGGAAAAATGTCAAAGATGCTATTGTGGTAAGGATCCCCCCAGTGTTTGTGCACCTGGAGTATAGAGTAGGCGGGGTAAACCCGAAGTAGAGATTTCTGATTACCATTCATGGGACCCTTAGGTGTTATATATCTCTCTCTCTTCTGTTTTTCTCCCTCATCCTATTTTAGACGATCGTTTCGGCAATGAGTACTATAATACCTCCAGTTCCACTGGCCAACCCTGAAAACCAGTTTCGGTCAGATTATATCAAGAGCATAGCCCCTATCACCGACTTCGAATATTCCCAGGTAAGAAACCCTGTCCTGAAATACTTTAAGTAACAAGAGGTGGGCCCATTTCTAATGAGGTTGCTTCCTGGAAAGGAGCAAAACCTCTCTAAAATCCAGCCCTTACGGGTGCTTCTTTTGTGCTTGTCAAAAAGAGTAAAAACAAGAGGATTGTGAGCAATCTCCTTATGGATACCTGGTGGCTGCTCATCAGGGAGGCAGCTTGTCTTTCAGAAATGGCGCTTGTCTTTCAGAAATGGCGGTGGCGCTTTTCCCCATATGTTTTTAAAGCATTTCCACATACTACAAAAAAAAAAAAAAAAAAAAAAAAAACAATAATTACATGAGCAGAGAGAAAAGCTTACGGGCTTACGGGTATAATTGCCTCTGTGGAAATAACAGAAAAAAAAAAAATAAGAGAAAAAAAAGTGTATTTTCTTAGGCTTTGTGTCCATCTGATCACAGGAGCATGCTCTAAGCAGCCCAGGCCAGCAGTCTGTGTGTATCAAGCAGGATACAATGAGGTTTACATCTGCCTCGCTGATGGCTGCTGCCTGTCATTCCTGCGCCGGCATCGCTTGTGCCAGAGTGAGGCCGAGCAGTGCAAGTTGTTCCTTGTATGATTTGCACTTGCCTGGTGGTGTGATGTAGCAGACTGGACTCCAACTGTCGACGAAGTGTCTGAGACAGTCATTTTTGCCTCTGTTGTAGCAAAAGAGCATCTTTGCGTGTGCATGGTACACCCAGGTATCTGTCAGTGCTCTATTTCAGAGTTTTCACTGCCTGGCAGGTGGTTTGCAGATACCGCTCCTCCAAGTACCCATTTCACAGACTCCACTGTGTAAACAAAGGCCTTGTTCTGCTCTGGCTTAAAGGCCTGCTGCACCTGCTGCTCCCTCTCCTCCCCTCCTCTTAAAGAGCCTTCCTTTGGGCTCCATATCCAGTTAATGGATAACTTGTTTTGTTTTGTTTTGTTTTGTTTTGTTTTGTTTTGTTTTGTTTTGAGACAGGGTCTCTACATAGCCCTGGCTGTCTTGAAACTGACTATGTAGACCAGGCTGGCCTCAAACTCACGAAGATCTGCCTGCCTCTGTCTCTGCCTCCTGAGTGCTGGGAGACAGTGCACCCCACACCTGGTTCACAGTGTCCTCTTAAAGAGCTTATATTTTCATCCTTCAGTATGCTTCTGATAAGTATGAAAACATAGCCAGAACTACCTGAGCAATTTCTGAAATGCAGCTAAGAGTGACAGCATGAGTAGCAGAAGTCTGGCATCTGCTGTGAGACACATGGGCTCTGAGCTATGTCTTTACGTATGGATGGTTGGAACGGGGTAAGGAGATGGTCAGGTGGGTGAACCGTAGCGGGATGCTTCTGCCACAGCCGGAAGCCTCCTGGTTGGAGCTGGGGCTGCAGGGTATCCACTCCATTCTCTGCAGCATTTTGTGCCCTGGGGAAATCGCCCAAAATTATAGCCCTGGTTGAGATCAAGACTGCCATTCTCATTCAGCCTCAGACGTGGACTGTCCTGTCATAGTTTTCTAAAGTCATTTATTAAAGACCTTACATATGCCTGAGCACCTTCCTTTAAGATGTCATTGCTAGCGTATGAGAGGTTAAGACTGATCATTTGGTTCTGCAGCATTTTCTGTCTGTTCATGAGCACTCACAGATGATTCTTTCCTTCTTAAAATCAGAGACCCATGCCTCTACCGTGCTGTCTTGGGCATCCTCATAAATTGTGGATGTGCCTTTTGGGTTAAATTGTATGTAGTTTAATGAAAACATAAAACTTGAGGAACCGCTTACTACATGTGCATATAGTTTCATAAAATTGTCACCATAAACCACATTTCACTATCCGTTAAGTAGAAAAGGATTCGATGAAAACAAATACAAATGAAATTGAAATGCAGCGCGGAGGCAAAACTCTTTTAGGTGTTGTTCTGCTGTTTGTGTGTTCATTGTTATTTTTCTGCCCTAGCATTATGTGGGTTTTTATGTCCGTGCTCACATGAAATGAGAGTGTTTTATTTATCATTTTAAAAACCTAGACTTACATAAATAAGAACTTAATATTAATAGATAACATTGTTTCTGAAAATGCTACATCTTGTTTAAAATGCACTCACTCTTCAGAGACTTTATTCTGTAGTGCTTGGAAACATTCAAACTACTTATTTGGTATGCAAGAGTGTAGTGTAGAGGGTGCTCAGTGGCGTTGTGTTTTATACAGGATGCCAGCTAGGTGTGAAGAACGGAGTGTAGGATTGTGGGAGGCCAGCGCTGAGGTTAGATGGCCACTGTGGAGCTGACTGAAATTATCCAGACATGAGATGGTGGGTGATCCGGTGTGGAGTGTCTTTCACTGGGACAATGAAAGGGTCCTACGTTGGGATATGTTTTGGATGTGGAGTCGTTCATATGATCTGACTTTTGCATGTGGGTAATGAGCCTGGATTTCTGCACACAAAAGAGAAGCAGGTTGAGGAGGGGGAGGAATGAGAGTGATGAGAAACTGGAGAGCACCAGGTGTGAGCATGTCGAGCATGTTGTGCAGGTGTGTAGTGAGGAGGGTGAAAGGTGGAGGTCTTCTGCCCAGGGATTGTGTGTGGAGCAGGGCGGGCATTTAAAAAGGCTCCGGAGTAACACTAAGGAGATGCCCAGGTTCCAGGTAGCTAAGTGGCTGTCTAGGATATCATGGCAGGACACCATGAAGCCAGAGAAAACAGAGCAGGAGTGAGGGGGCCCCAGAAGAACCATTCGAGATTGAAAGAGAATGTCACACAGGCAGAGTGAAGAAAGTGGATCTAAGTAGGCATTTCGAGGGACATGGCTTTTGTAGCCTAAAGGTCAGCAGTGACCTTGGCAAAGATCAGCTGGGAGAATGCTGACAAGAGAAAATGGAGACAGCAAGAGTACCCTGGACTTGCTGCAGGCTCTGCCTTTAGAAAATCCAGGAAGCAAGGACCCAAGGGGGCAGGAAAGGCTTAGAGAGTTTCAAAAAAAAAAACTTTATTTATATGTGTGTGAGAGAGACAGCGAGGACAGGAGTAAGAGACAGACATCGGGGAGTGTGCATGCCATGGTGCACAAGGGAAGGTCAGAGAATGATTGCGGGTAGTCAGTTTCCAGAGAATAAAAGATACAGAATCACATCTCAACACACGTGACCTGTGCTCTTTAGCAAAGGGGGGGGGGATGACAAGGAAATGAGGCTATTGACAGGGCCTGGTCTTTGACAAAGTGTAACAAGATGGGATGGAAAACTCAAAGAGATGGTGCTTGAGTATGAGGAAAGGCAAAAGACAGCAATAGACCAGGGTAAGATGGTAGATTTGGGACAGGAAAAGGAAGGAAGGCTGGCTTGCAAAGGCCTTTTAAAACAAACTGTTAAAGGAAAGTAGCAAATGTCTGTTAAGTAAAATTTGTCTCATTTGGGAATTTCCACAAACTGCCCCATCTGTTGTTTGTGGTATTATTAATGGAGGGGATAAAGCTATTGTGCCCTTGAACCCAAGTGAAACCATTTTTCCTTTTACTAGCCAAAAGTGCAAAAGGAGATTTCATTCCAGTTGTCAAGAGCAAATAACTCCACTTATCCTCACAGCTACCTGATGAGCTGTTTGCTGCCTATAACATGAAGTTCTGGAGGCAAGGCAAGCACCATATGCTAAATGTTAATATCAAATGAAACAAGTGCAAAGATTCTCTCCAAAAAAAAAAAAAAAATGTGGACAGAAAAAGTGTGGCCTTTAAGGGCAAATAATTAATTAACAGTTGTGTAGCTACAGTTTTTGTTTTTCATGAGTACATCTTGAGTTTAGGTCATCCTGGTTTGAAAGGATTACAAAAATCCTTTCATTAGCTGGTACTGTGTACCTGAAATCAAATTTTATATAGCATCCAACACATCTACAAAGGAAAAAAAAAGTCTCAACAAATAGTTAAGCAAAACAGCTTAAACTGGTTGATCAGTCACTAAATAGGCAACTGTTAATGGTTGTTCCTCACCCCAAAAATCCTTCAACAGTAGGCAAAGTCACTGCTGAGGTGAATTCCCTATTGGCTTGATTTATTTGTCTTCAAATACAGACGTTGTACTAGCTCTTTTAAAAATGTGCTTTATCGGGATATGTTCAAGACAAAGAAGGGCTTATAAGAATGCAAAAGCAGAGCTGGTGTAGGGTGGTGGGGTACACCTGCTGTCCTAGCATTCAGGGCAGGGAGGAGGGGCTGAGGCAGGAAGACTGTAAGCTCCAGGGCAGGCTGGCCTACATAGCAAGTTTCAGAACTGTTGAGATTCTCACTCAAAAAAATGAAAAGAAGAAGAGGAGGAGAAGGCAGGCAGGCCGAACAGAAGCAGTCTGACCCGTCAGTCAATGCTTTGTCATCACCACCCGGTAGTTCCAAAGACAGCAAGTCCACCACAGTTCTGTGACCAACATAAACCCAGGGAGCAGAAGTTACTGCTTCCACTCCCCCAGTGAGAGGTCAGTGAGATCCCTACAGCTATTGTGCATTTGGTCAGCCCCAAGGACTGGACAAGGAGCCAGGAGGTAGACTTTCCCCGCTGTTACCTTAACCATGTGACCTCGAGCTAGTACAGTTTCCCCACTGGGTCCCTCAGTGTGTCCACATTAAATCTGGAGTAGAGCTGGGATCCCAGACAACATGTTGGGTCTTAGCTGCACCTCCCTGTGTAATTTGTCTTCTGCTTTTGAGACAGTAGGTGTGTATAGCCCTGGCTAGCCTCAAACCACTCTGCAGTTCAGGCTAGCCTCAAATAAGGTATCCTCCTCCCCTGTACCAAGATTACAGGCCTGAGCTACTATATCAGGCTTAAACTTCACTTTTTAAAAAGAGGCTCTAGGGCCGGACATGACAGTGCATGAGGCCAGTCTGATCCAGGACAGCCAAGACTACACAGAGAAACCCTGTCTCAGGAGCAAGACAGGGCAGAGGACGGGGCACTTCGATCCAACCCAAGACCTCACAAATGCTAGCTTGGCACTTTACCA